CAAGCAAATATGGATGTTACAGGGGGGTTCCTGTCTGGCTACAGGTACTAGGCAGCCCGTTGCCTTCTGACACAGGTCTGCTATTAGCGTTTCAAAGGGACAGTTTAACATTACTAAGAGTACTTAGTTTAGAGAACCAAGAAATGGTAGGCCAATTCTTACTAACTGCCTCCCACTATTTCATCAGAGTGGTTCTTTACGTACCATAGAAGGGGACACCAGAATCAAGACCACACAAACTAATCACCATTATAACCACAGCTATGTTATTATTAAAGAAAGGGAAAATGTTAAACAAAATACAAATGGCCAAACACATACAATACTTGGGTTACTGCTGTTACAATCTCTTGTGTACATCTCTCTGTGAGGAGCTTTTAATAGTGAATATTCCCTTTGGTGAGTGCTTTTTCCTTGGTTAGTTGAGACCAAAGCGTGTTATGTCCCAAGTTTTTTGTGAATTCAGTTTTATTAGATACTTAAAACTGGCTACATCTATACTGCCCAGTCTTGCGCAAGAACATATGCAAATGAGGCGCAGCGATGAATATTGCCGTTCCTCATTTGCATACTTAATGAGCCACCATTTTTGCGCAAGGGGATTTTGCGCAAAAAACCCCTCTTGTGCAAGAGCTGTTCTGCCTGAAAAGAAGCGGCAGAATGGCTCTTATGCAAAAACTCCTTGTGCAAAATGGAAGCTCATTAAGTATGCAAATAAGGCGTGGCGATATTCATCACTGCGCCTCATTTGCATATGCTCTTGTGCAAAACTGGGCAGTGTAAAAGTAGCCTTTATGTATGGGCAAAATAATAGTTTAAGGACAAGTAAGTGCCTATCTAGTTATTAATAATAACCTAAACAGTTTGTAGTTGGGCAAAGTAACCAACCAAATTCTATAAAAACCAAATCCTATTAAAAAAAAAACCCCAAAGATGACATTTCAATTAGTTACTTAAACAAAGCCATTTTAAAGAGCTGTTTTAAGATTGGAGAGTTACAAATATTGAGACTCTTAAAGCCAGTTACATCCCCCCACACTCCTGATTACTGTGTCTTCTCTCCAGCAATGCATGGCCTAACCACTTTTCATCAACCAGACACAAGTGGGTCAGGGAAACAGTGGCAACTGATAACGGCTGATGCAGGTAAAGGGCATAGTTTAAAGGTTTGATGGTAAGCAGAAGGGGTCAGCTATATCACAACCATACATACGTGGTGCATACAGGGGTACAAGGTGTTATTCAGAAGTAGAGCACATATGGACTCACTGAAAATTCAAGGTTCCCAGCTGGAATGGGAAGCTCCATGGCATATCAATGTCCTGGACCTTTGTGCAATCTACAATGCCTGTCAGAACCTTCAGAATTACGTCAGGGGCTCAACAGTTCGCACACTCACTGACAATGCCACTGCAACGAGTTGTGTAGACAGAGTGGTGAGCACACACCAACATGCTGTGTCAGGAGGTGATCAGACTCTGGTAGTTTTGCATCTGGGAAAAATGTGACCCTTGTGGCTGATCACTGACCTGGGATCCACAACCACCTAGGCTCTGCGCTGGATCCAGCTTGTGGGGAAGTGCACGCGCTTCCTTATCCATCCTACCTTCCCGTGGGCTCTGGGGATGTGGGACACGGGAACTGCGCAGCCTCCCCTTGCCTGGTGATCACCAGACAGTGCATCCAGCTGTGCCAGATGTGGTGATGATCAGCGTTCCCTCAGATTTTCCAACCATGAGCGGAGTGAGTTTTGGCTTGTGCACCAAATATTGAGGTCATGTGCGTTTACTCAGATGTGTGCCACCATGGCACCCAATTTATTAATACACACATTTCTGGTTGCCCCCCCCCCCCTGCCATGCAGCATGTCCCATCCCCAGCCACTGGAGCAGACCCACCTCGTCCTTCCCCACCATGCGGCAGGTCCTGTTCCTGGCCCCAGCTGCCAGGACAGGCACCAGCCCCCCTGCCATGAGGCTGCTGTGGCCACTGGAGCAGGTCTCCTCCCCCCTGCTGCCGCGGCAGATCCCATCCCCTGTTGTCTCAGCTGGACCCGCACACCAGAGCAACAAGTGCTCCTGCATGGCTCTCCAGAGAAGGTGGGTGGGGAAAGAATGTTTTGTGTGCAGCTGCTTAGGTGTGCACCTTAGTGGGAATAATTAAACGGGAGCAGGTGGGGGAAACTGGGGGGGGAGGGAGGGCTAACTGTAACTGGTAAGCATCACCCAGTTTCTGGCTAGGGTTCACATCTCTAGTTCAAGCATGTGTTGCATGCATGCGTATTCAAGCAGGGGAAATCACACCTCTCACTCATTGCATAAATGTGGCCTTAGAAAGGTTATAGAGGTTTATGGAATGAGCTATTGCTGGGCTCTGAAGGGGATGCTGTTCAATTCTTCCTGGCTGGAAGTTGGTTGCCAGAGTGCAAGGTGTTGTGGGAACTGAGTTGGATTAAAGGAGACAAATCAGTTATGATCCCAGAGTAGGTAAGGATTGTTCAATAAATAGTCTTTATCTGGAAAAACCGTAATAGTCTGGATTTGTTAAATCAATTTAGTTGCATGAATATTTTTTTAAAATAGTCTTTCTTAGAGATGCAGCATATTGTAATATACACTGGATTTATTAACTCATACCTTGAGGCCCATTAGAAATAAGAGAGGCTGCTGTTGATTCAAATTTCACTGTGTGAGTGTTCAGAAATATGAGCTGAGT